AGTTAGTGTACTGATCAGCACTAAGGTCGAAGTATTCCTTCAGTGGAGGTAATGGAAATAAGCCCCCTGATCACTGCAGTAGTTTATGTGGATCAGAGTTTCTGAAACAGGATAGCTTCTTCTGCTTAGCTCTGCTTGCTCAGTTAGACTGACAATAATACTGCTAGGTGAGATGATGGCAGTTTATTCAGATATTAATAGTGACTTGGTTTTGTGATCAAAATGATACAGTAAATTGGATTTTTGATTATACCAAACATCAGCAGGGATCAATGTTTTTCAATGTACCCGAAGAAGTGTGTATGCACACAAAAGCTAATACCCAGAATAAATCTTTGTTGGTCTTAAAGGTGTCAATGGACCCAAACTTTGTTTTGCAGCTTCAGACCAACACGACTACCCACCTGAATCTATCAGCAGGGATCATGATACACTCAGCTATTGGCCTCAATCAACAACTAAACTTACTGGGATAAAATACTTGTAAATTGGCAACTTTTTTAAAGAAAATGAAAAACATATTAAAAACTGAGAATACACATCACTGAACGCTACCACGACACAATCATATGTTTCTATGGGTCAAATATGACATCAGGATTTAGTGTAGTGACCATGTCCAAATGAACATGAAAAAATAAACTGGACATTCAGATACCAGGAGAAATTGTGTTTATTGTATATTAAAAAGTTATGATTGATTTTTCTAGTTGGAGCAGGGTTGTCTCCTCTCCCAGAGAAATGGGAAAGTGGCACAGATCATGCAAACAAAATTATTTTAAACAGATACAGAGTTAAAATGCCTTTTGCCTAGAATACAAGGGTGGTGATAAAAAAATACCAGTCCTAAGTAAAGTCAACATATGGTTTCTGATTCCATTTAGATCAGTCATAATTCCAAATTTGTGTGGGGGAATAACAATACTACAAGGGAATGAGAGGAAATAAAACACTGTAAAATGCTATGTACTTTAAAATGAGCGATGAATCCCTTGTGACCATTATTCATGACATTCCGTTTCTGATAAGTAGAATACAGATGTACAGTTTGAGGCCAACACCAAAGCTGGCGCAGGGTCATTTTGTAGAAAAAGAGCTGCAGGAGCTCATTAGCATAACCTATTAGCATATGCCACACCCCCTGACATCACTGGAAGTGTGCACCAGCCCCTCTGACAGGCAGAAGCACCTGGGATCCATTCTTTCCCCCCTCTCCCTTCCCTTCGCCTCCAAGTCGGGTGAAGGAAAAGGGGAGGGGGAGGATCTCAGGGGCTTCTGCCTGACAGAGGTGCTGGCGTGCCCACAGCTAGCCTGGGTGAATTATAGAATCATACACTCATAGAGTGGGAAGGGACCTCCAGGGTCATCTAGTCCAATCCCCTGCACAATGCAGGAAATTCACCAATACCCCCCCCACACCCCAGTGACCCCTGTTCCATGCCCAGAATATGATTTTAAAAACCCTCCAGGATCACTGGGAGCCAAACTGGTCTGGAGAAAAATTGCTTCCTGGCCCCAAAGTGGCGATCAGCATTTCCCAAGAACTAAGCACTGATGCAACCCTTCCTGCTCTACCTCTCGTGATTTGCCTAAGTTCACACAATCAGCATTATGATCCTTTTAAAGTTGAAAGCATGATATAAATGCAAAGGACTATTTGTAAGATTATCTGTAAGACACAAGACTAGGACGCATC